AGATTGGAAAGTTGCCTTTTTTCTGAGTTGTTGGTCACTGTCAGAGGCAGCAAATGACACCCAGTGGCCCAACAATTTGCCCTGGAATGGCAGGAGCTGTGATACAGAAATGGATGGGCTAGCATCTGCTCTGAAAAAGCAAGAATTAGAGTCTGCTCTGAATTGGCAGGAGCTCTCTCAGTCTGAGAGAGAGAGCGTGCAGCCTCCAAGCCCTGGACAAAAGGGCAAGTCAGTGCACTATCCAGGGATATTGAGCAAGATGAATAAAGGGGCTGGAAATGTACTTTCAGTGCTATAGCACCAGACTAGGTGAACAAATCACCTGATCCAGTTTAATGAAGCCTGTGATCCTCCACCTCCTTTGTGGAACCGGTGTCCCAGGGTCAGCGTGTGCCCGCACGAGCACGCACACATCCTTATCTTATCTAATTACTAGAAGTTTCAGATTAATTTCAGTGCAGCTGCTTGAAAGGGCTGTTATCAGCCAGGGCTTTGTGGTTTAACCTTGTTACCCTTTTGTTGTTAACCTTTCCGAATGGCAGCGAGGGGAAGGCTGAGATCCTGATGTGCTGGAGGAGCAGGGAGGGGGCAGACGGGAACTGGCGAGCCTGCACCCCCCAGTTTTGTGCATTCAGCTCCGCTGCAGGCTGTGTGACAGGACAGCTGGCTGCTTACCTCTGCTGACAGGCACTGGTACCCAGCCACACAGAACAGCCCGTAACAGGGATACGTCTCCTGCCAACCTCTCCAGATCCTTTGATATTTCCGACAGCGCAGTAAAGGGCTCTGGCTCTCACATTTTACCTTGCATCGCTCAGCTCCTCTAAGGCTGCCCTGCTTTGTTTCCATAGCTACACCCAATCGCATCTGCCTTCCTGTGAAATTGGATTTCAAAGCAAGACAAGCCTTCAAAGGAATTTGTCCATTTAACAGAATATCATTAGGAGAGAGCCTGTCTGCTGAACTTGGGACCTAAAATGATTAAGGTGGGGCTTTTATCATGTAGGGAGGCAGCTTTACATCTAGAGCCCACAGAGCTTGATGCTACATTACAATGACGGGGTGGAAGGTGCCAGTCACTGCCAGGCTCCCCCACCTCCTTCCCAGCTGACCACTAAACTACATTTGTAACCTATTCACACATTCAGAAATGAAAGTGGCAAGGAAAAAGGCAAGAAAAAAAAGGTCATTTGCCTGGGAATCAGTCCGCCTGGCTCTCTCTGCAGCTGCGTAAGGCTGAGTGGAAGGCTTGGCTTGGTGCTAAGGCTTTGGGTAATATAGCATCTATGTCTCCACGGCAGCTGAGGCTCTATGCCTTAGTATTCCTCAGTAAAAATGGATTTAATAATAACAACAGCTGCTGCACGGTCAACCTGGTCTTAACAAAATCTTCCTGTAGGGGCTGAGGGGAACATTTTAGGTGCTGGGTCCTGTCTCCGGCCGCCAGGACCGTGGAATGGATGTGTGGTCCGAGAGCAGCCAGGGTGCAACCGTGCCAGCCTCCACATAGGATGCTCTTTTCAAAGCTCTATGATAACCTTAAGATCTGTAGCAAAAGACCAAAAATCACAACTGCAATACATCTCAGAAGTTGAGCAGAAAAGATCTGGAGCTTTACTGGTGCTGTGAACACTGCAACAGCAGGAAATTTGTTGGGTGAAATCCCCATATGCTCTTAAACAGTAATCACACCCAAGGCAGCAAAGGAAGGCAAAACCACACAAAACACCCACAAAACAAGTCACTGCCAGTTCGACACGGGGAAAAATTTCTTTCTGATCCTAAATATGATAAATCGGTTTAACTCTTGGGCAAGACTCACTGACCAGGTATTACTTTTTAGTTCACTCTTTACAACGCTATGCTTTCAGACTATTATGCGAGCTACAGAAATGCAGAGAATGTGTGAGATGACCCTTTTCTTTGCAGTTGCATGAGCATTTCTTCCTCTGAGATTTGCATTGATCAGGTTTTATTGATCTTTCTGGCATATCTGAAGGCAGCTTCTTCTGTTTAAGGGATCTAGTTCATTCTTTTATAAACTAATTTTTAAAGTTAGTCAGTCTCAGCAAGCAGCTGCTTTTTATTTGTAGTTTGTAATGAACTGACTAGGATTTCTACACAGAAGTGTTTAAATATTTATCCCTAAACACCTCTAGGTGAGAACACATATACAGATCATCTACCGTACACATCCACCTACACGCGCTACCATTTCTTGCATACAATCAGAACCACTCAAATGCGTCAGGAGCCGTAAGCAGCTGACAGAGATGCTCGTTTTCCTCCCATAGGAGACTCTCAGTTTTCTAAATCCTGACTCATGAAACCCTACCTGACTAGGAGATGTAATGGGGAAGACTACCGTGATGTATATGCTTTCTAGCAAGGCAATCTCCCGTGTGAGGCCCTCTGAACTGCAGCAACGTTTCCTGTGCTTTAAGACCTCTGCATCCACTGAAGAGCAATTTCTTGTACATGTTTTCCTAAAATCAAGAATATGCTGCTGCGGTGTTGTCAGTGTGGGCGAGCCCACGCGGCCGAACACAAGGTAAAGGGGGAAGGACAGGAACTGAGTGAACTTACTCAGAGTAGGAAACCTGTAAGGTCTGGATTGGTAACGTCAGACGAGAAGTCTGTCTCCAGGCTGTTCTGAAATTACATGTGCGTGCAGAGGACAGCCAAGTGACAAATCAGAAGTGGTGGTGTGTTTCTTTTCCCAGATCCAGAGAGCAATTGAGCCTCCCTAAGCAGAAGAGAAAACACACTGTCTTCTCCTCTTTGCGATTAAACCCCAAATGGCAGCTGCCACTTCAGCATTGCCATGTGGGGAGACTCTACACAGAAAACAGTGCAATGTTACTGCTCCGGTAAACCAGCTGTATACATGTTCCTGCTCACGGTAGCTTCACTTCTCCTTTAAAGCCGTCCCTTCTTGACAGGTGTTACTTACATGTGAGTTATTGAGGTGGTATCTCCATGCATGAAAGTGAATATTTCAGCCAAAAAGTCCCAAAAGAACTTTGCAGCTGCTTTGGTTCCCCTTTCACGTCACTGTCTACGGTGGAGGCAATGCGCTAGAATTGGAGGCACACACCCAAACCCCAAAACCACAGAGCACTGTCCTTCATCTTAAACCTGTTCTTTATCTGACTTGTACCTATCAACTAAAAGCATAACAGAGTCTTTTCCCTTGTTTCACCCCCATGTCTCAGAAAGCGGGTCACGAAGCGTATTAGAAGCTGATGGCATATGGAGAAGCACCTCATATATTTCCATCATTCCCATATCTGAGCATTTGCAGTATAGCTCTTATATCACATATGTGAGATAAGCCCTGAAACCCACAGATTCCCTTGACTGAACCAAGCAAGAAGCTTGGGGCCAATCTGGAATTTGTTCCAGGTTTCCTTTATCCAAGGCCTGCCACCAAACAACTAACCATTTATTCCACCCAGGTGATGCATCCAGAGAGCCGTGAGAATCTGATTCCACAATTATTTGGAAATATGCTCAGCCTCACGACATGGCATCGTCCCACTGACGCCAGTGGGACTGCAGCAAAGTGTTTGTGTACCTCAGCCTTTGCGGGCTGGAAGCCCAATGCACAGTTCTTTTTTTTCTTTTCCCCTACAGATTTTGTTTTGCCAGCTTGTGATAATTACTGCGGCCGGCTGGCTTGCCCAGAGCAGGAGGACAGCAAAGAAGCAGTTTTAGGGGGCCTCCTTGGAGAGTTCAGAGCGGCCCTGCCCCATCACATCGTGCTACACCTTAGCACGCAGCCCTGGCTCTGCACTGGCAGGGGCTGTGCCGTGCCCCTGCTGAAAGCAGCAAGCACAAACGTTTGTGAAGCCACGTGGTTTTGTATTTGCGGCTGATGCAGCCGGGTTGCATCCTTTTTTGCCATTCTCCAACATTTGCTATGTTGGGAAAATATAATTAAAGATCACATACCAGGCATAAAATACTGGAAAAGTGAAAGTGGCAAGCATGTTCAGAATAACCTTTTCTATGTGCTATAATAATAAGTATTTGTTTGATACCAGGATATTGCAAAGTAAGGACTGGATCCTGTACGCTTAACCTATGGGAAATCTTAAAATGGTCTTTGGAATCATTGATGAGCTTCAGATAAAGAAGACTGTCCTTGGATTTGTCGATATCGAGCCTAAAATTTGGGAATGCAAGAATGAAAAATAATAGTGGTATCCTCATAGTCAGCTTGTGCTAATTCATTTATATAGAGGAGGAGCAGATGCAGGGCTGTGGGTTAATCTAATGCAATGCCATTTTTGTTTTGTAGAGTGCAGTTTGCATTTATTGCCTGTCATAAAGCAAGTTAAAGCGTGCAACCCTGCTATTTCTCTGGGCAAGACATAGAAATATGAATGGCTATTACAATCTAGCCCCCTTCCTATGCAGGATGCAGGAAGAGGGGAAGTTTTATTGCAGAACAGCCAAGTGCCATTCTCTTCCCCTGTTCATTACAGGAGGGAGCCTGCCTTTGCCTGGAACAGCTCCAATCCTCCCCTGGTGTTGTGCTAGGAACCAGCACAGGAGGTTAAATCAACGGCCACGCACCTCGCAGGGGTCACGGCTGGGCTCTGCCAGCAGGTGCAATGAGTTGTGTGATAATGAAGGAGATGCACTCCTAACTGCCACCTCATTAAAACGCTAATGCAGGAGCGCAGGTTCAGCTGTGCTGTTGCTGGGGTGGGATCAGGCACTTTTGCAGCTTCCTGGCTGGAGCTCTGGCCCTTGGGAGCGTGGAGGTGCTTGGTGTCCTGGGAGCCAGGCATCCTGCTGCCTGCAAGGAGGTAGGTTGAGCTGGCTGGGGCCGTAAGAGGAGGAGGAGGAGGAGGCATCTGAGTTGAGCCTACCAGTTCCTCCTACCTTTTTTGGGGTGTCCCCGCCCTCCCTGCTGTCTTCATTCCTGCGCCTGAGGGACAGGAGCAGTAGCAGCAGGTTTGAGTCCTTGTGGGAAGGAGGTGGTGGGTGTCATGATCCCAGAGGAGATTCAGAGGCTTCTGGAAGGTAATCATGAACTCCTCCTTGCTCCCCTTCTGCTTCATGGGGGAAATCTGCTGTGGCTGCAGGGAAAGAAGCTGAAAAACTTCTTGTACATCGCTGTGCTGAGCCAGAGAGAGGAGTGGAAGGACTGTGGGAGCTACTTCTTCTTTAAGGCTGATGGTTTTGGGGTCCTCAGGTTATGCATGCCTTCCCTGTCTCTAATCCCAATGAGAGCGTAGGGGATGTGGCTGCCTGCCCTGGTGCTTTTGGGGCTCTCCTCCCATTGCTCAGGGGCTGGCAGGTGGGCCCATGCCTGTGGTAGGGGTGGGGAAGCTCTCTGGTGGCCCCAGACTCTGTGTGAGGGGAAGAGAAGGGTATGCAGGATTGAGGGATGTCTTCTGGCATGGCCAAGAGATGGTCCCCACTGCCTGTTTTCAGTTAAGGTATGGAGTGGCTCTGCTGGTGAGCATCACTAGGGTGAGACAAGGGAGCGGGTACAAAGGGTAAAAGAAGCTTGTGTGCTACAACGAGCCCTCTCGGCAGGCTTTTGTTGTGGCTGTGACAGTGGCGTCTCCTGGCTTTAGAGGTTGTGCAAGTGTTGTGTGTCGCGCTGGGGATGCTGTGAGCAAGCTTGCTTGGTGGGGGTGCATCCTCAGGAAAGCTTCAACCCTGTTGGAAAGGGGGGTGCAGCTGAGAGAGCAGGGCTGGCTGCAAGCCCCACTTCTGCTTCATAATTTGAATGTGACCTCTTGAAATCTCCGCATCTGAGTGCTGAGGGCGGACAGCGTTTACTTCTGCGTGTGCGTAAGATGGCAGGTGGGAGGCTTCTGAAGTTGTTTTTCCTGGATTTCTTCACAAACTTGAATGGTTACACCTCCACTCACTGAAGCGGTGGGTCAGCCAAGCAGAAACCATGCTCAACTCTTGTATCAAAATATGCTTCACAAACATCAACAAGTTCTGTGTGGACCTTTGCAACCATTGCTGACCTCATGGTGTGGTAAGCGAAGGCTTGGTGAGAGAAGCGCTGTGCAGAGGTGACCATGTTATAACCTCCCCGTAAATAAAACTTCGGCGGCAGCAGCGTTGCAGGCTGGAGCGGTGGCGTTAGCCCGTTGCTGAACCACACGTGCCGCGTTACCGACACATCCTGCCGGCCCAGATATGGGTGGTGGGGAAGGAGTCGTTCGCATCTCGCCGCTCGGGGCGGTTGTGTTCGGGGCTGGCCCTGGCTGCTGCAAGGCTTTGTGACCTTTTGTTTCCTGTTGCGATGGCTCCTGGCAGCACGGAGCATTTGCCCCTTCCCCTCCGAGATGCGGGATAACTTCCAGTCCTGGGATCCATCAGTCTGAGAGAGAGAGCGTGCAGCCTCCAAGCCCGTCAAAGCTCTCTTCCAAATGCTTTGTGTCTTCCCCCAGATGTAGGTGTAAATTTTCTCCTCTGTTTTTTAATCATGGGGGCTCCAGTGAAGTTCACCCTTTCACGTTTTTGATGTGCAGCACTTTATTGTTCAGCGCTGACACTTTTGTAAACAACTCATTTCTGCACCTGCCACCTTCCTTTAACTTAGATTATTTTCTTGTTAGCTGACTGTTTTTAATTGAAGGCTTCAGATCTCCTTCTAAAGCACAGCCTTTGTTTGCTGACAGGTATAGCAGGCTATGAATGGAGATTAATTGCATGTCACATACCTCTGTATCAAACTTGCTGTGTCTTAACAATCTATACAGTCTTGAGGCCTTCCAGTGGCTTAGGAGGTTTCTAGCCATGCAGGCTGGAAATGAAGGAGCTTAAGCTATTACAGTGTTTGCAAACTGCATTACCATAAGAATTCTGGTATTTAGAATAAAAATTACAAATAGAGGAGGAAGCATGTACTGATGTACAGGCAGTAACATCTGCTTCCTTCTATTAAAGTTTGGTGACGCACAAAAGCAGGTAGTCAATGGCTTGCTAGTAACAGTTGTGTTATCACGTAAGGCATCTCTGAGGTTGCAGTGGTTGAAAGCCAGCACAATACAGCTATTCCCTCCACGCTGCCATCCTGCAACGCTTATGAATGCTTGTTTTCTCTTTATGAGTAGATGTGGTTGCAGCAATTATATTATTTTAAGTTCCACCTTGCAAATAAGCAGTCCAATTTCTCATTAACGCTATGTTGTCAGTTAATTACACAGGGTTTCACTTTTGGCTCAGTCGGGTCCCTTTTAAAACTACTTTTGCTTAAGGGTATTTCATGTTTGTTTAGCGCAAATTTCTTCTGAAGGCTGAAACAGCGGTTCTAAAAAATGTGATGTATCTCTGACAAACCCAGGGCTTCTGGTTTTGTTTGTAGAGGCAAAGACAGCCTGATTATCTTCCCTTTGCCTGCCTTGCTTGAGCCTCTTCATTTCAGACGGTAGGTCTGGAAAGCCATTTTCTTGCTGGGGTTTGGGCAGCAGGAGGGACAGAGCAGGTGCCGCAGTGGGAGACTGCGACTGCACCTGCGCGGCCTCACAAAGCTGGTGGCTGCTAATTGCGAGGCAAGTGGCCTCAATGCTGTTTTAAAAACAAACAATAAAATGCTGTGTTTTGTGAGGCCTAATAAGCCACAGTCAGCATTGATGGAGCATCATGAGTAGCTCCAGAAGTTAAATATTGGGCGATTTGGGGCTGAGGCTTGGAAGCTGTTCTCGGTTCCCCTGTTGCCCATTGCACAGGAGAGAACGTCCCGTTCAGTCCCTTGCAGGAGGGTGGATGAAGGCTGCTGCAGGTCTCAAGGTTTTTTTTTCTGACTCGGCCCCACAAAAGCAGGAAGGCTCCTCTGCAAAATGTTGTTTCACAATTAAACCAGCCTTTCTTGAGCTTGCAGAAAAGTCAAGAAACACTGTGTGCGATAGTTCAGAGCTTCTATTTTGACAAGTGGGACAGGGGATGATACAACCAGCCTTCCAAACCCCTGGCTGTCTTGGGATGCATCTTGGAAATACTGATGCAGTCTCATGGAAGCTGAAGGTATCTGCATCTCTGTGTTGATAGGTGTCCTAAACTTTTTTTTTTAAACTAATTTTTCCTGGCCAGCTGGGGTGATAAACTGCAGGAGGGATTGTGTGAAGCATCAAATAAGTGTTGGAGCAGACTGGCTGGCTCAGCATTATCTTGCATGGCCAGAACGTTGAGATTCTGTGGGACTAGTTCCTCTGTGCGTGGAGCGCAGGGTTTCTGTTGGCAGCCTTCTGATGGCAGAGGAGTAGAAAAGAGGGGGGGGAAAAAAAAGTGATTGTGTGGATGTGCATGGAGAGAATACACATGGCATCTTAATACCTTTCAGCTCTGCTCATTGAGTGCTGATTAACCCCTAGAATTTAGTGCTGCCTTTAAAAGGTTATTTACTACCTGGACTTCAGTGGTCGCGACATAATTCTTATGATGCCGTGCATCTCCTGCAGGATTAAAGTGGATAACTGCAATTGCCTCTAGGAACTCCCCTGAAACACTTGATGAAATCTCAACTATTTTTTTTCTGCTCTTACCTTTTTAGCTACAGGAAATGAAAAGGAGAGTCCTGTAAACTTTCAGAGTGGATCGCAGAGAGCAATCTATAAACATCAAGAATATAATGTTACCGACAAGCAGTAAAACTAACATCAGGGTGATTTACTCTAGAGCTGCTTACATATTGCTCTTCCTGATCCACTTTGAGAGTTTATGGTTAGGCTTTCTTTTTCATTTCCTGGCGCTATAAACATAGTGGCTGGCTCGGAAAGGGGCTCTGCCTGGTTTGCAGAAGTGACCCTAGTCCTACTATAACTTACCCAGCAGCTGATCTGTGCTGACATTCCAGTAAGTAAATACCGTATTAGAGCTAATGGCGTACTCATGGAGCTAATCTCTGCTTAAAAATGACAGAGGGATGCAGCTGATATTTGCACAAGTTCTGGGAGCCGTTTGTTTTTCTGGCTTGTTCTCTTTTGCTGTGGAAATACAGCCTGTACGTAGTTTCTCTTGCTGACCCATTTCTACTGTGCTGTTTTTATGCTGGTTTGTATATAATAAATTGTCCCCTTAGCCTCATCTGTTCTTAAGCAGTAAGCTCCTTGGCACAAGATATATCCTTTGTGCTTAGATATATGTACTTGGGTACTTTCTATGTAATTTGTAAGTGGCGTAAGCCTCAGCATTGTTAGGCTTGTCATAAGCTGGTGCTGCATCTTGGATGTACAGTTAAAACTGCACAGAGATGTACTGAAAATGAAACTTAGCCTAAGGATTATAGGATTGGCCTGGGATTTAAAAAGCTTCACTCAGCTGCTCTGGGAAAGCCTTTGTGTTATCCCAGGCAGGCCATCTAGGGCTAAATTACTAGCAGTGAACTTGATATCAATAGGCATTTTGGTCTGACAGCTCTGTGCTGCTGGAGCTCCCCAAACTGCTGCTGGATGTAGGTGTGGGTTCGAGAGCGATGCTGTGAATTAGCGTTGCTCCCCATCGCCGAGACACAGCAGCTGTGCATCCCCACATCAGAGGGGCTGTGCTAGGATGCTTCGGTAGCTCAGTGCTGTGTTTGGGCTTTAAGCTCTGTTTCTCAGCTCTGAAGCGGTGGCTGCAGGTATGAGGCACTGCTGGCTCGGACCCGGTTCTTGTGGCTCAGGAGCCCTCCTGGCAGGAGGGAAGGCAGGGAGACAGAGGAAGGAGCTAGCGAGGGCCTGGAGGAATCCACGTTTGGCCGAAATGTGCTTATTAGTGAGTGCTCCCATGGAAACTGGTGCTTTCAGCTGAATAAATCCAGAAAGGAGAACCGGACTGTTATGGAGACAAGTGTTACCATCTGGATTCACTCTTCATTCCCAGGCTGCTGTGGTCAGAGTTGGGTCTCCGTGGTCCTGCCCCTCTGTCACTCTGAAGAGGCGGTGGGAAGAGGGCCCTGTTCCTGGGGGATGCCCAAGCATCAGCCTTGTTCCCCTCCATGCCCTTCCTGTTACTTTTTGCGTTAGAGCTCCTTTTCCCCCCCGCCAAGCTCTAAGCCTTTCTTGAGTGTGGCATGAGCAGGCAACAAAAAGAAATGAGGGCTCATGATTTTAACAGAAACATGTATTAATTTCTCTTGTGGCATTTTGATCTTGAGATGTGCTTGCAGGTGGAGGAGCTGTTTTTAAGGAGCTGTGCAGGTTCCTGGGGTGTGCTAAACAGTGCTGGCTGTCGTACCAGCAGCTGAAGCATAAGGAGCTGAAAGTCTTGCAAGCAGGATATTAAACTGACATTAGTGTCACAGTATGGGGCGCGAGTTAAAGGTTGGAGAGGCCTGTGGATGTACAACACCATAGCTTTGAAGCCAATCTTTTCTCTGCTAGGGGAAACTAGCAGTAATGCCGCTGAAGGCCAAGGTTGATATTCTCCTCTGCAGAGCAGGTGTGGTTGGAACGGTTTTGTTTTCTATGAGATTTTTTTTGAGGTTTCTGTAAGGAACATAAATAATTATGCAAATAGAAGACACTTAATCCTTTTATCTACCAGTTCATGTTAAATTTCTGCGTATAGATGTGGTTTCCAGGTGAGAGAATACTGTATTTACTTTTGGCTAGCTGTCTCTGTTGGGCAAGCACGGGGCATAGGATTTCAGCTGTAACCTTGCGGGAGAGCCCATGTTGTGATACAAGCGCACGTAGGCTAGTGCACAACTAACCTGTTGTTCAGTGCTTGTCCTTTATGAAGATCGTCCTTGTGAAAACCACAGGGCAGGGTTCCCTTGAGGTGTCAGTGGGTATCTTGCACCGGTGTTTTAAAAGTGCGTTGGATTCTCCTCTGAATGGGTTAACCGCTTCTTCTGTGTCCTTGCTTAATGCCAAAAGCCTTTCACAGCAGCGGATTTTTAGGGTTTGGGGCAGCAAAGAAGCAGGTGGAGTTGCACTGTAGTCTAATAGACTTATCCACGTTTCACCTTCCTCTTTTTTTCTGCATGGTGGTTTCTTTGCAGTTGCTTATTTGCCATTGCAACTAGAGAGAAGTGCTGTAATCACATGCAATATTTAGATCCTCTTCTACCCGCAATCAGTTCAATGTCTTAACTTCTCCAAATGAAGTCTTCAGATTGACTTGTGTCTCTAGATCAGGCTGCTTGGTACGGTGCTTCAAGGGCTTCCCAGTGCACAGCCACGTCCAGGTTTTTTAGCCAAGAAGAGGTTAGTTTTAACGTGTAATTCCCTCTTTCCCAGATGCTGAAGGTTACCTGGCGGATGGACTGCAGAATGAAAACTTGAGTGCTAAAGCAAGGGAGCAGAGGGATGCAATTCTCCTTGGCTTCCAGCAAGTCAAAGCCAGGTTTGTGTTATCTGTGTTACTTTCTAATGGAAGTGCTTCAGAATAGAGTCATGCCTTGGGGTACCACATGCTGTATTCGACTAGCTGGACCACGCTTTGAAAGTTAATGGACATTCAGGGCTTGATATAACGTGAGACTGCACACTGGGTTGTACACGCTCCTATTTAACCAGTTATATCGTTGTCTGCAAAGTTGTCATTATTTCTATTTGGAATTTGTTTTGTGTTTCAAAGAAAAAATCATGCCTTGGGCTGCGTCTGTACAGCTCTTTGCATATGGGCCTCTGATCCTGTCCTGTTCTTCCTTCTCCCTTGGGCTAGAGAGGATTTTGTGGAAAAAAATCCATCACTTGATACTCAGGCTTGTGGGTAAATCAATACAGTGAGTGAAGATTCATGCTGCTGGCTTGCTGCTGAAAGTATTTATTTCACAAGTGGCTCCCGAACTCAAATATGTATTGCCTGGGCTTTGATACAGTAAAAAGGAATGAAGAGGACTTCTTGAATTAAAACTCGGGTCTGACCTGGGTTCCAAAATCTCATGTCCTTGGGACTGTTCAAGTCCTGCATGTTCTCATGAGCTGCATCATTTGGATAAGTGAGTGAGGCAAACAAAGGTTGTTCTGTTGTGCTAGGGGAAAATCAAGGAACATAAACAGAAAGCAGGTTGCTGGAGGCTTAAATAAAACTTTCAGCCTCAGCTGCATTATATTTTTGGCTAGAAATGTGATCCAGAGCTTGCTGTTAATGCTCTAGTTATAAGATATGAGTTGTGTCACTTGAAGTTAAGACCTGACAATAAAACTCAGGGTGGCTGACTGATCTAAGCATCCAGTTTAAATAAAACTGCTGTCGAGTCCCTGAGAAGCGGAGAATTTTATCCTTCGGAAGGGCACAGCCAGAGTCTATTCCCTGCAGTCCCACTGAAGAACTTTGCAAGATGCCCTGCTGTATCTTAATCGATCTTTCCTGCTGGCTAATTAAGCATCAGTTTTACTCAGCAACACGGGACTGTGTAATTATCAGCCTGGGTTGCCCTGAATAATTGAAACAAGCTGAACGCAGAAGATGGAAGCCTTTGGAAAATGGGGCTGTAGCATATCTAATGGAGGAATGAGATGTGTGTGTAGTAGTGTCCTGTAATATTGCAGAAGAAAGGGCTTGATTGCGTGTTTATAACAGATTGGTGTGGTTTCTCTTAAAAAAAAAAAAAAATCCCACTCATTGGGAGGTATTGATCTCGGCTGGAAGGAGTTAAGTAAGCAGAATTCTGAACCTGAAGTATTCAGTCATCAAGTCAGGCTTTTTGTCAACTGTCCTGAGAACATGCGACTTTAAAAGTGACAACTCTTTATCTTCATATAATGCAACTCTAGGTCTGTTTTTAATGAATTAAAAACAAATAACGTGGAACTTGATAAATGTGTGAGGCACTTGGCAAACTTGGAAATACTGGATTGTTCTTGCTTCCTGAAGTAGGTGGTCTGTCTTCATGTGCTGTTAGATTTGTGAACAGTGCTTGAGCAGCGGGGAAAGATGCTGCTACGACCGTCGTCCTGGGGACCTCTGGCTTCCCAGGGGTTGTGTGTGGTTTTGGTGACTTGCTCAAGAAGGAGCAGCCTCGGGGCAAACACCGATGCTGTAACACAGAGCTCAACCTTGGCTCTTAGCTCTTTCTCAGCCTAAGAATACAATTTGGGATAAAGCCTTTAGAACAAAGGCGTCTCAAAAAAGCAGGAGGTTTGGCGAAGCAGCCTTTGCATCAGGAGGAGAGGTGATACGCGAATTCCTCCTGGATGCTCAGGTTCAGACGTGGGCCTCGGTCCTGTTCCTTATTGAAATAAATTGCAGGTACTTGTGGAGGGGAAAGCGAGACCCTTGAGCAAAGACTACAGGGCACTGCTGATTTCCTACTTGTGTTTTATTGCTCGGTGGCATTTGGAAAGGGTGAGAAGAACAGAGTATACAGATGTCCTTGTTCTGACCTGAGCCATTAATGCAATGATTTGTGGTGGGAGATTACTGTAACGATGACTGTATCCTTTTATTTGAAAGGATCTAAGCGGGTCTCGCTCTTGGGGATGAGGCGCGGGTTTGTCCCTCCGGGAAGCTGCCGGTGGCTTTTGCGGCGGGTGTTCAGGAAATTGTCAGCCGTCGCCTTCAGGAAGCGCCCGCCTTCCCCGAGCGGCCCCGCTCTCCGCCTTCCACCTCTGCAGGGTGAAACACAACACGGCGTGTAGGGTTTCGTTATTTGGGTTCATAATGGACATAAGTAAACTGCTCAACTACTGGGGAGAGACACATGCGTCTCGGAAAGGGAAGAGCTTCATCTAGTATGATTATCCTGAGCCAGTCTCAATAACTGTTCCTGTAACTTGGCCATCAGGTCTTTATATCGCTGCTCTCCCCATGGCCTCATAACATTCCCCCACCAGGAGGTTCGCTGATGACTATAATGTGAACAAGTGGTTGGGCTTTATGTCTCCATGTGCTACCTGTGAGGATATATTGTTCCCGTCTCGCCGCAAGAAGTGCGGTAGGTAGGGAGTGGATTGTGTTTGCAGGTTATAATTTTTTTCCGAGGCAGTCTGGGGTATTTTTGCTCGAGGAGCCGTGTCTGAGGCATTGCAGGCAGTGGCTGTGGGGAGGCTGTCACCACACGGCTGAGTTATGAGTCCCTGTACCGTTTTACTTTCAGAATTCATTTGGTTATTTAAAGTGCACTGTTGTGTTGAAACTGTTCTCTCTTCTTTTTTTTTTTTCCTCCCTACTAACTCAGATCCTATTCCACTTTCTAATATCTTCTATGCAAATCCAGGCCTGGCATTTTTTTTTCCTAATAATCTCTTTGGTTTTGTTGATAGTCTCTTTTTAATTGCTTTCCCTGATGGCTTTGCACGGCCTCCAGGAAAGCAAGCCACAGCACACAACTGGAGGCTTGGTCCCCAGGAATTATCCGCCTGAGGGACGAGGACCTCGCAGCACAGCAGCACATACAGCTACCTGTGTCCTGACCGTAGGCTGAGGACTCTGCTCGAGTCCTGAACGGAAAAACAAAGCGCTTGTAATGGATAAAAATTGCTTAAAAAGCAGCTTTGGTTTGGGGGAGGGTAGGCGGAGGATGTGGTGCTGTGGCAGAGTTTTGCTTGTCTTCCAGAAGCCCCAAAGGTTGCCAGTTGCTTCTGTTTTAGGTCCGTTGGTGCCGAGGGTTTGTTTCAAGTTGTTCCTTGGGAACATCGCTGCTGTTTCTCGTGTCCTAACGAAGCCGGCTGCAGAGCTGGCAGCAGATGTCCGACACCTGGGATGAATCGGATACATGACTCTGCTCAGGAACACAAGCCCATTCTTGTCCTTTGGCAAGAGCAGTAACAAAAAAAAACCCCGTCGTCTTGCTGTTAAATGACCTCACCTCAGCATTTCGACATTTCTAGAGCAGTTACAATGGCAGGGGGTGAGATGGGGAGAATGGGATTTATTTAAAAATATGGAGATAAATAGTTCCTCCATCTCCTTGGAGTCAGCTAGTCATTTAAACTCCCTGTAGGAAGGCAAGTTTGCATTGATGGAAACAAATTCTTAGTATTTTTTTTTTCCCCTGAGGCGAAATGTAATAGTGCTAAAAGGAGGGCAGGGCAGACCTGTTGTATATCAAAGCAGAAATGAAGAGAAAGGGGCTTAATTAATGTTGAGTTTCTCGCATACGCCCACTAGGAAATCCAAAATAGACACTGAAACTCTACCTTTAATTTGCTCCGCTGTGACTAAAACACAGACGTGAACCTGAGGCCCAATCCTGCTACCCATAACTAATACACGGGACCATTTTTCAACATTCGTACCAGCAGCAGGAGCTCTGGTGTAGACCAGGCTCTTCACCTCTGGATAACAAGCCCCGAAACCTCATTTTACCGCCTCGTTGTCTAATCCTTCTTAAAGTTTATGGCAATATTCCCAACGCTGCTACTGTGCTATCAGTAAGCAAAAGCCTGCACGTGGTCTTTTAACTCTGTGATGAAACTTCTCCCATATCAGACATCTCCAGGTGATGTCCTGGCCTGCTAAAGAGAGCCTGCAGAAGCCAAGGTCTTCCTGGGCCTCCATGGTCACCGTAGTGCCATGCTGGTATTCGTGTGCAGTGTCACAAATGCAAGAGTGCTGTGTCTGGCAGCATTTTTGGACAGCAAACGTGTGCTCCCTGCCTGGTCGAGTGATTTAGGTCTCTAATGTAAAGTCTGGGATGAGGTTTAAATGCCTAACTGTGTAGTGAAACGCCATAGCTGTCCTGCGTCTTCAACAGAGGCTGGGCTCTGCCACCGTGAGCCTTGCTTGTAACACTGAGCTTCAGAAAAAGAAATACAGCCTCTGAGCTTAGAAATTGCTCACCTTTGGCACAGAGGTGCGGAATACAGAGGGGGTCCGAGATGCTCCTAGTGCCTGGGTATATCTTTTCATACTCTGTTGCAGTCTGACCTGAAGAAATACTTCTTTTTGGGGAGCAAACTTGGGTAACACCATCACCTAGGTGCTGCTGGGTGCTTTGCCACGTCTGGCCCCGACAGTGTTACTGTCAATAAGAAATCCTGCGCTTGCTGCTGGAGCTGAAACAGGATGGTTTGACCCCAAATGGAAGCGTAAGGGTAAAGGCAACCCAGCGTGACTGCCTCTGGTTTGGGCGCCCTTGGGGCTGTCCTACAAATCTCAGTAAGCTGTTGTAGCATGTGGTTCCTGCACGCTGTCACAAACCAATAAGCTACTGGTTTTATTGGTTTATGGGTGTAGCTGAACTGTAAATACCTCAACACCAGGGGCACTTTGCCTAATTACTGGGTTGAACTTGGTCCTTTCTGTGGCAAGGTATTACAGTAGGACTGGAAAAGATTCACTAATGGAAATACATCCAAAATTTTGTCTAAGGCAGTGTGTTTGGTCTGTTTTAATAAACTTCTAACCGTATTAACTACATCCATTACTTCAATTTTCAACCTTATTTTAAAGTTTTAAGATTGAAATTAAAGAAAATGCAATTTCAGGGTAATTTTGCTTCATTAGTGTAAATGCACTGCCTGTAATTCCTACCAATATTAAACTCATTATGCTGAATAACGTGTGATACCAAGATAAAAAGGAATTTAAGAATGTGACCTGATGGGCAGATAATTGAGCTCAGCACATTAATGCCAGGGCTGGACTATAGCCCCACCACATTGTCCTTAATTAGGCAAAGTGCTGTTCTCCTCCTTCATGTTCTTCAGAGAGCTGAAATTTATTTGCTCAGCAAGGAAACGATCTTGCTGAGCAGGATTTCATTCGCGCTTACTTTGGCCATTAAATACAGATTTGTTCTGCAAAAAAATAAAAGCAAGTCCCTGTCACTTCAGAAGTACTTAGCAGTTTTGGGATTTGCATTTTTCTATCCTAAACCTGAGCTCTTCGAGTTGGTTTTTCCTTCGTGCAGGGGCGCGCTGGCTTGGGGACACGTAAGCGTGCGCTGCACCAGCTGGTGTTAATGGAGATCTAAAGCCTCTCACCACCCTGCACCAGTACATCTGGGCCTGGGTGTGTGTGAGCACAGGCATTCCTTTCGTTTTCAACAGTCAAGTTTAATACTGACCGCGGTGATTATTTCTTTTTAAAGTCTGGTAAAGTTTCTGTTAGGATGTTCCCAATTTATTCTGTAATCTTGGTAGGGGATTTTTTTTTTTTCCTTCTTTTGGGGAGTGCTGAGGAAGGATTTCTCCTGTGTTAATACATGGCGTGGCAGGGGCACAAATTCAATTCAGCTGTTATCATATTCTACCTGCTTTTATACCTGGGGTGAATGTGGCCATTCACTCTGCCAGTAATGCAGTTTGGTGCCTTCTGGGTTAGACTCGTTTCAGTAATTTGCATCATTTTCCATTCCAGCTGATAAAATTACCCCTGTTTCCCCATCCATTTCCTTGTGAATGCATTGTTAATCTGAAACCTGAGGACTGTAAATGATTGAAATTGTGTAACCAGAGTCTTTGCATAGCTGCTGCTGCTGCTTCTGTAACATTTAACAGAGAAATGCATTTGAAGCGGTTTGTAACCGACTTTGCTAATGGTGAGCTCCTCAATCCCATTTTCATCTTTTTTTTTCTGCTTGAAATCTTGTACAGCATTGATTTTTAAAAATTTTTTGCAAACATTAAAAACCAATGAATGCTGCACACCAAACAAATTAGGCTGTCTTGAAATATCTAATTTAATAACATCTGTGGTGATATTAGTGTTCTTAATTGGACAGGAAAATACAGGAAATTTGATTGAAATTGCTGAAATTGAGTCTGAGAGGAAAGTGGGGTTTAGACTCTTACGGACTTTAGAGCTGCAAAGAGACCATTATAACCATCAAGTTTGACCCCCTGCATAATACAAACCGTAAGATTTCAGACAGCGTTTTTTGCTTCTAGCCCCAAATGGATCTGGTTTGACTCCTTCAGCTCTGGGATTTGCTGCAAGCGGTGGATGCTGGTCAGCAAACTCGGGCTGTGGATGGGAGGAGGGAGTGTGTTACTTGTGTATTTTACTGGATTTCTGTGCATTGGTGGGATTTGTGACCCCCCCATGCACCAGAGGCCTGGGGTAGATCTGCTGCTTGAGTTTTGTGTAGAGGTTGGAAATGGAGGCATAAAACCAAATTATCTTGGTGCTCCAAGGAAACACCAGTCCTGTGCTCATACCGAAGGGCAAATCTAGACCTAACGTGGCAGGAATAATACTGCCCCGGGGGGAAATTTCATCCTTGCGTATTCCAGGGCTTGATCTGCCTTTCCGTTTGGAACGCGAAGGGATATTTCTGGGCTTCCCTGCTCTAAACACTGCTGCTGAGCCGGTAGGAGTGTTGAAGTAACTTCTTGCTGGTAGTCATGCGTCTGCAAGGAATGGAGTCCTGCTTGCTTGGGCCTGGAAGCATCACTGCCCTCGGGTGACTGCTTTTGAGTAAAAGAGCTATGAAAAGCAAACTCTACTTTGTTGAAAGTGAATCCATCATACAGGGCGGCTAGGAAGGGGAGGATTTGGAGAACTTATTTTCAACCCTCACAAGTGTCTGTCTGATGCTCTTGGGGTTGCTTCCAATCTTGCTTTTGTTATAAACCAGTGCAAGGATAAGATCTGTCATCAAGGTCTTGATGTGTCCTGGAAGCATCTTTCACTCCTGAAGACCAAGTCCTGGCTCTGTGGGAGGCAGCAGAAGGCTCTGGTCCATACAGACCAGCCGCTGAGAAATGTTAGTTCTGGCTCAAGACCCGTTCTTGTTGGGAATGACGCTTTCTGGCAAACCCGGCTGCTCTGTGACTCAATTTCCCTTTCCAATGTGACAACAGCATTTTCTTCTACTCTTTT